TGACAAAGCAAAGATATCATGCAGTATAAACAAACATCTATATAGCGTGTACACGCCATTTATCTAAAATGTGCTAATTCAATTATTAAGTATCGAATCGATCATTTTTCTGAGTAAATAAAGCAGAGATAACAATACCATTGTGTGGAAATCTGATCATGGAAACACGATGTTTTTTTCAAATAAGACGTGTACACGCCTGAAGTCTCAAGTGTCTAATAGACTTTATCAATAACGATAGTGTCATCAAGTATAATTAGCATAGTTATGATATCGGTACCGACGTGTACACGTCCCGAATGGAATATTTTGATTTGAAAATAGATTTGGCGAACCTCTAATGGGATTCCACTTTGAGATAAGGGTCTTCGCATTTTTCCAGGCAATGGAAAACAAAAGCAGAGGAAAGAAAAATTTTGAAATAATTGTTAAAGGATATGGTCCGTAAAAAATTTATTCGCAGGACGCGCTAAGGCAAGGCCAGAAGCTTGCAGGTCCTATAATGAAGGTTTCTAGAGTTGAATAAATTTTTGCCATTAGTTGAAAGATGCCCATCAGTCTCATTCAAGAAACACTTGTGTGAGCATTTTTTCCCTATTTTTCATCTTGTTCAATATCTATTGATGCCAGAATTTGGTGGTTCGAGTGGAGAGCACACTCTGTACCCTTTTCAATGAAGATATAATATTATTATGTACTATATTTGTACAGTTGAGGTGTGTACTATATATGTACAGTTGAGGTGTGTAATTTATAAGAAAATCGTCACCTAATGTATCCATAGTTACATAAAATCACTCTTTTCTTAACTATTCACTCAGCAGGTTTGAATAGAACACCTTGTATTTCCTTAACCAGCAATATTTTCATAAAACATGCTTGGCTATTTTTGGATGTATGATAAATTGATATTCATCATACAGGACGTGGAAAAAAATTCAGAATTGAGAAAACTTTATCACGAATCTGCGATTGAGGGCTATAAATATAAAAATGAATATATACAGTGTGTCCCTAGACCAGTGGGACAGTTGAATATCTCCTGAACCAATAGGAATTTTCAAAATATTATAATTCCACAGCATATCGCATCATGAGTGCTAACTTCAGGAATCACTAAATTTTATACGAGGGGCGCATCCCTCTAGGCTAATTATCAGTTTTTTATTTTTGAAAATCCGACAAGGCGTTGCCAAGTTATACTAGTGTTTCATAAAATGCAGACATTTTTTTAGACAAACCCATCATTTATACTACTGAGAATTTATGGAATCATTCAAGACTGTTGGTAGTCGGTGGCATGTTCTATCATATGAAATACTCATCTTTTTCGAAAGTTATACAGGGTGGTCAGAAATATCATATGATTTTCACGAAATTCAAACTTTCTTCACATCAATTTTTCAAATAGTGCACCCTACAATATGTATGATTTTATATCCCATTGGTGGTTTGATTGCTTATGGTCAATACTTGTGAAAGAGAGATGTGAATTTCATCATAAGCAAATGCAAATAAAAAAAATGCAATAAACTATTTATTCAACTGTACTCAACTACTAAAAAACAGTCCCAACAAGAAAAAACTGACTTGACGAATAATTAGGCACAATAATTTTAATATAAATGTTCGAATTACCTTCCGTTTGCTGCAAGGCACATTTCAAAATTTTCCATTACATGATTTCTTGTAACGTTCTCCAACATTCTCGGTGTTATACTTCGACAAACCCTCAAAATTCGATTTTGCGAATCCTCCAGATTCAATGGTTGAGTAGAATAGTCCTCTGATTTTAGATACCCTCACAAGAAAAAGTCTAAGGGGGTCAAGTCTGGCGAACGAGCCGGCCATTTTATTGGTCCGTTTGTTCCGAGCCATCTTTGAGGAAAAAGAGCGTTCAATTGGTCTGTCACGATCCCAGCGTTATGAGGCGGCGCTCCATCCTGCTGGAAGAACATTTTTCTGAGGTGTCCAAGGGGGACCTCATCAAGATGATTACTGAACTCATTTTGAAGGAAACGAAGGTATCTTTCACTATTTAGAGTACCTTGATAAAAATATGGTCCAATCAAATTATTCTTGAAAATTCCACACCAAACATTTACTCCCCAAATCTCCTGAAAATTGGTTTCTCGAACCCAATGCAGATTGTCTGCAGCCCAGTAATGTACATTATGACGATTTACTTTCCCATTATTGTGGAAGCGGGATTCATCAGACCACATAATTTTTGACACAAAATCACCATCATCATGGATTCTTACCATCATCTCAGAAATGAAATCTATCCGCCTATCATAGTCAGTTGGTTTTAAAGCTTGAACTAAATTTAATTTAAATGGATGTTGCCTGTGGGTCTTCAAAATCCTATGTACGGAACTCTTCGAGATACCTGATTCCTCAGCAACTCCTCGCACCGATGAATGGAGATTTTGGTGTATGTATGCTAAAATGTTAACCGACATATCATCATTCACGATTGACTTAGAATGTCGTGGTTGTTTGTTCGATGGTAATTTCTGATCGTTTCGCAGTTTTGCCTCAAGTCTAATGAAGGTATTTTTTCCTGGTTGTCTTCGATCTGGATAACGTTGACTGTACAATACACAAGCTCTGCGGGAGTTTTTCTCGCTTCGCCAAATATGAGCAACATGTCAACATATTCATCTGGTGAAAATAACCGTGGCATTTCAATATTCTTCCACTAATAACGGGGAACAAACTGAACCCGTCCAAAGGGGCTTTGAACAATCAAATTACTTTATTGGATATGATCTTGAGGAACACAATAATTTCGTTCCTGAAACGTCCAAATTTGATATTTTTTCTATGTACCTTCATTTTTCGTCTCCAAACCTTTTTCAATTCAAATTGTCACTGACAAGTGAATTTTTCTTTCAGGCTCTCTGATATGAAAATTCTTTAAACGCAGTGATATTTCGGGGCATATCATCTGATTAATTTTATAGAAACGAGGAGAGAAAATCCCAAAAAATCTGGAATAATGAATGTATCACCTCCTCGATTAACCTGTGTGCCTGTTTTAAGAAACCCTCCATAGGAATCATATGAAAATTCACATATAGGGGTTCGAAACCATGAAGAACAATATTATATGAGGTCAGCTCTCATGTAAAACATTTTTTATATGATTTGATTGAATAAAAACGAACGGCACTGTCTAAAATTATGTTCGTCTCTGGAGAACTGGTCATATTGAGGTTAAGTCACACCGGTTCAAATTTAGTAAAGATCGCAGGACCACAGATTAAGCCACTGTGGCAGGACTATAATAGCTGAGATACAGTGTGCCAAATGTCCGATGTCGTTAGGAAAATTGAAAATTTCTCGAACAAGACGAATTCAATTTGGGGGGACACATTTTTCTGCAATTATCATATGCCGAAGTTATAAACCTTGAAGCTTAACGGTTATCAACTTTCGATTTTCAAATGGAACACCCTGTATTTCATTGCAGTTTTAGATTCTCCCTGAAGAGCTGCTCTGATCAATGTATCAAGATTCAGAATTCTGATCACCCTATATCTGTTCCAATTAAATGTCAGTAGATAGTAAATCCAAAGTTGAGAATGGGACATGAAATGACCGATAATGATTAGTTTCGACACAAAAAAATCCTAAAGTTGAAAAATCTCGATTTTGAACACCCTATCTAAAAATGCAATGAAATACAGGGTGACGAGTATCTTATCCACTAGAACACCATGTATATGAGTATCACAGGTATACTTACAGAGTGTTTCCTATACCTTCATTGTTGACGATTATTATTTATTTATTATATTCCTATTCTGGTATTGTTCGCAGAATCATGAAAAATCATGGCTCTTCAAATCTCGAAAGAAATGCGGATATATTCTGAATTACATCAAGTTTATTATTGTGATTTGATTCGCTCGTGATAGGGAATTGTTCCTGATTGAGAACACAAAAAAATACCAGAAACGAAGATATTATATAATTCAGATTTCGAAACTTTCATTATTGTCTAAATGTTTTAAAACCAAAAATAACGAATCCTCTATTATGTTCATTAATCATAATTTTTTTGAGATTTCCACTCTTTGTCCGCATGAATACAAGTAATGACAACTGAAAAACATATTAGTGAGCAAACCCTCAAAAATTGCAGACGTATATGCGTTTCACTATCATTGCACATCATCAGTAGGTATAGCCAAAATTTTCGAAACTCGGACGGACATTACATAAAAGATACATAGACAGATAGCGAATCAAAATTTGTGGCATGATTGTGACAAAGCGATCTGCGTGTTATATGGTGTTATCTAAATTTTTTTATCGTCGGAGCGCACGAAAGGAATCCCTATTCATAGAACAGCGTGTGTATCTAGGTAGGATAAAAAGAGGAGGTAGGATTTTGGGAGCTATGCCCACTTATTTTGTTTTTTGTCATTGTATGATTTCCTCTTGCTAACACTTTCACATCAAATCAGATGATTGGAAACAAAATTTGGAGAGTCCAAATTTTCGACTACAAAAAATTTGATTTATAAACGTCAATTATTAGGCATAACATTTTATTATTTAGCAATAGTTGATATAGGTAGACAGTTGACTGGTGAATTGAAATCCTGAAGAAAAATAGAGGTATCGATATCTCAGCTTCTTATAATCACATGAAGAGAAATTTAAAAAAAGTGTATTTTCGGTACAAAAATGTGTGTGTTATTTCAAAAAATACTATTCCATTGATAATTCAGTAGCCATTCCGGTTGTGTTTTTTTGCTTGTTTCGTTTTTTGTTTCATGAATTATACCGTAGGCTTCAATAACGAAATTTATACATTCAATGTTTCAAAATTATTGTTCACTGAATAAGGTTCCACATTTTTTTTCAAAGCACGTTCGCTATATCGTCACTGTTCCATGAATGATAATAGAGAAAGTATCTAATTAAACAAATCGATGTCCTGTTAAATAATATGTGTATAAAAATTGAGTACGTAGGTAACTTACCGATTTTAAAAAAAATCAATATAGGTTCTTCAGCTTCTTGAAATAGCATTCAGCACTCACCAAAATATAAATTATTTGTTATACTTGCATGTTATTGAAATTTTAAGTAAATAATCACTACACCGTGTGTATGTATCTACCTGACCACTGTCTGAGCATGTGAAAACTGCACAATATTATGATGGGTATTGCTTATTATTGCTTCTCCCGATTGTCAATCGTTGTTTTACGTCATTTTGAAATCCTTAACAATTCGATTAGGAGTTTGTAACAATATAATATAGAGGATTATATGGATCGTATATGTGACATATTTTTGATTCAGATTTAAATTTGATAAGATTATTTGAGAATCCGGAATAAGCTTGCATTGATCCCCCAAAGCAGTTATCACATTAAATAAAAAGTATTCGATTTTTTGGAATCATATGGTATCATAATCATATTGTTATAAAGAACTTTTATCGAATATCCTTATGTGCGTATACAGGGTGTTTCATAATTGAATGTCAATATTTGGGGAGACGATTCTTATACAGGGTGGTGAGATTCTCAAAAATTAATAGTTTTTTATTAATATCTGTAATACCACTTCAGATATTCTGATGAAATTTGACATAATTGTACTATATGTATCAAGAGGCATCAGTTAGTGTACCACATTTTTTTTGATTGCCACCAGTGGCGTTCGTATGGAATTTCACATACCTATTGAAATTGAAATCCTACCTGATATTCCCAATCATTTCTAAGCAAATTTGATGACTACAATTTTTTCAATCTGATGCACGGTTTTCGCTTGAATAGTAATATCGTTAATATGACAATATCACAATGGAGGAAAATAGATTTTATTCTTTAGACCAAATTTCAGAAATACAATTCATAGTTTATGAACTTCCTATTCGTATTTGGTATTTTGGATTTATAACTTCTCATTGTAGTAGGCTATATTGATTTTTCAGTACTTTACCACCTTGTAACTCAAAAGTTAGGACGTTTAGGTCATACGCTCATATGAAACTTTCTTCTCAGAATGGGCCCAAGAATCACCTCCTCGAATGTTGACATTCAATTATGAAACACCCTGTATAATCGTAAAGTGCTATCCTAAAGTTGTAGTATTAAGTACATGTATTTCGTTAGTATGTTTGTACATAGATACCAACTGGCCATCGAAGTTACGAGAGGTTCTTCAGCCCATGTGTGTTATGTGTAGGCTTTGTTACTAACTCCATAGAAAGAATGATTATTAAACATTAAGTAATCATTGTTAGACCAATTGGAAGTACACTCTTTTAGATAGGAAATACCACGAGTCAAGAATAATATCCATTATTGCGAGTAGTATACCCTAATTCATTCCCAGTATAATGCCATATCTCATCTCCTACGGGAATGATTTGAAAAATCTTGTTTCACCAGCTAGGTTCTCTATTGGTATATATATATATATAGAGGATCTAATAAACAAACTCACGCAAAAATCAATGACATTATCATTTACGTTATCAATCATAGCTCGTTCCTGTGGAAATTTGATAGCGTCCACTATTGGTCAATTGATATTTGAAAGTATTTTCCATCAATCTTTATTGGCCTTCCTATGTACCTAGTTGATAATTTTTTCTTTACCTATTTGAAACATGATATAGCAGTAAACATTCATACACATACACTTGGAATTCGGATATTGTAGATAACAATATGTAGGTAACCTAGGTATTTATGTTTGTAGGGAAATATTTGTGTAAATAGAAAACTCATGATCATATTAACTTTGTTTGAATTCTTATTTAGCGCTATCAAATCAATACACACACTTAGTGAAAAAAAATATGATACCTACCTATCTCAATGTTCAGTAAATATTGTTTGAGCAAATATAAATCAAATAAATAGTAGCACCTTGTAGTAGGATCATCAAATGTTAATTGGCTACTATGATATATCTATATCTACCTCAATAATTGAATACTAACTGTTGTGCTCTATTGATGATATAATCAATAAAAATATGAATGGATATTGAAATTTGTGATATCAAAGAACGAGAAATCCTCTTTTTCCAGATTTTTTTGGATTTTCTCTCTTCATCGTTTCTAGTCACTATTTGAGAGCCTGAAAGGAAAATGCAATGGATCATCAGTGACACCTTGTTATGGTTGTGTTTGAAGAAATGAAATATAAAAATATAGAAAACAAATTTTCACTCATCTTCAGATATTAGTGTTGACATACAAAATGAGTTGGAGGATGTTTTCAATAATTGATTTTGAATTCACCATTTTCTATAAGTGCTTCATTTCGAAAACGAAAGCAGATCCGTTCCCAAAGAAATGAGTAATAAATTGATATATTTTCGGTATATATATTATGTTGATATATTTTTTCCAAAACGAAGTGTTACTGAAGGTCGAATGGATTTTTCTTTTAGGCTCTCAGATAGAAAAAAAAACATTTTTTATATGAATGAGAGAAAATCCCAATCTTAAAAAAATAATGTACTTATACTTTGACCCTCACATACAGCTTAAACTATACTATCTTTTGGTACTCCTTAAATAAACAAATGCGAACCGCAAAATGAAGGAACAGAGATAACAGTTTTTTCAGATGAAACACCCTGTATATTTTCAACTGATGTGGAAGATCTACTTCTTCTGTTCACAAATATATATTATAGTTTGCTAATGCCGTTTAAGACTGAATTCTTGCTGCACTACTGAAATTTTTGCATTAATTTCATAATATTATGTTATTATTTCGTATTGTTCCTCAACAGAATAACCCATTTTAATTGATAAACTTGAAAGATATGTTGATGCAATGTTGAAGCGATGACTGAAACGGGAGTCCAGCAATATTGCAAAGGTGAAGTTTGATAATGTAGAGATGCAGCAATATTACATGTTGCTGTGACATTGCTGGAACGTTACATTTACAAATTCAGATTTGCAATATGGCTGAACATCGGTTTCAATAATTGCTACAAAACTTGCCTCAACATAGCTTCCAAATTTGCTTGGTGGGATACGTATCCGCTATAACCAAGGTTTAGGACAGTTTTGTCGAAGTTACTTTTAAAAGAAATCAAAAATTATCAAAACGTTCTGTTTCGTGCCATGAGCTATTTCACTTCCAGTCAGCTGCTTATGATCTATAAGGCACAGATCCGACCTGTCCTGGAATACTGTTTCCATATTTGGAGTGCCGCACCCAAACATACCCTGAAACTGTTGGTCAATTTATTGTCTCTGGGTGATGCCTCGCTCACAAACTCACTCACAACACCGTGAAAATGTTGGCGATCTGGCTGTATTTTATAGATATTTTAGAACAATTGTTCCTCCCTTGGCAGTCTACGCGAGATTAACCCGTCGCGTTGAGGCTTCACACCAATCCGTGGTCACTTTGGAGACCTACAGAACATCTCTTTCCAAAGACTCGTTCATCCAACGAACAGTGAGGCTGTGGAACACATTGCCAAGGGAGGTGTTTCCCGAAGCATATAACCTCCAGAAATTCAAGAAGAACACCAATTCCTACCTTATTTCCCTTGGTTTTCAACCAGAACATAAATAAAAAAAAAACATTCGGGACAAATGTGTGAAATTGAAATAGAAACAATATTTTTTGAAATTCTAATAAATGAGCCTATTTTCGGAGATCAATTTGAAATAAATGTACTTTTACATGTATAACGAAAGGCACGTGACTCCGGCCGAGTATGCAATTTTCCATCTTTCTTGAAAATGAATTATTATTGAAAGTTTTTCCCATATGATGCCAACTTTATGAATGACACCGTATATTTGTGAACAATAGAAACAGATTTTTCACCAAGGTTGAAAATTTATACAGGGTGTTTCATACAGAATAATAACTGATCTGGACTCTTCTTCTCATTTTGCGCTTCGCATTTGTTTATTTAAGGAGTGTCAAAAAAATTCGTACAGATAAAAGCCTACAACTATAATATTTGAAGTTTTTCCACCTCGTTAAGTTGAAGCTATTGGTCAAAATATACAAACAGTAACTGAAATCCTCCTTCAGCTACAGAAAACTCGATCATCCAAACAACCTCGTCAAACAATCCCTTTTATTATACAATCGAAAAATCATTTCCATACCACATAAATATAATATAAATATACAATAACATTCATACAGATATTTCTTGTATTTGAACACGTTTTTTCGTCGTCCCTGGCGTCGCTTGCCCGTGCGGCCGCAGGATGCCTGAAGATGGATTCTGATTCGGGTGCGAAACGTCGCTTGGCTGCTTCTGCGTCGTATTGGTCACGTCAGGAGGGTGGCAATCGCTCCTCTTGGGAGAGAAGTGACAATCCCCCCTCTTGGGGGAGGATTTGAATTCGCGCAGTGGGTAGTCGGCCACGATGCGAACCTCCGTTTGGGGGGAGGTTTCGCACGCGCAGGCGCCAGGGTAGTCTGCGCAGGTGCCAGGGTAGTCCGCGCATGCGTAGGGCGGTCGCTGGCATTCGTAGGAGGCCGTTTGCTGGGGTTCGTAGCGGTTGGGGGGATGAGTTTTGGGGAAGGTTTCCCCTGAGGAAGTGCTGCAGCTCGCTGAAAAGCATAATTTCAATTAGAAGACCACAGAGGAAAAAGGGGGAATGTTACAAGAAGTAGGTTTCGAGAAAAACGAATTTCAAAGTTCAGAACCTCATTTGGAAGTTGGGGGATACTGAAATCAAACCACCGGGATTCATTTGATGGAGTATAATGAGCAATACATTCGAACAACTTGAAAAGTTTATCATTTCTGAACGGAATAGATGATTTTTTTTTTCAACTTTTGATTCATATTCAAATTGATTTTTGCTCACCAATATGAAATGATTTGTCAAAATTTAATACTTAATGTTTTCAAATATTATATTATTTAATAGTTTATCATAATTTTATAGTTTTAAGTATTATTGTTAACGATACTTCCTTATACCAGAACTTGATTCTGACTGGAAGTAACATTTTCAATAAATAAATAAATAATCGAAAACACAAAAAAAGTTTAAAGGTAACCCCCCTTGTAGCGCCTGGTTCTTACTCAGATATTTTCTAAACAAGATACATTTACATTATTCAATTTCTATTCTGATTAGCTTATTTTAGTGATTTTCTGAGATAGATATGGAGTTAATTTTATCAAGTAATTGATAAATTTGCTCAAGACTACAAGAATGCCATTTTTGTTCGAACAAGATTATGATTATTATTCACGTGCAATTCGTTATTGTAATTTTGGCTGTAAACAGAATACTTATGTGATGTCAATTATTCAGTTGATATTTTTTGTAGAATAATAGTTGATTAGGTATAAATCGAGGGAGTGAAGTGCATGAATTTTCCCCTCGGTGGTTTTGTAGCTATATACAGTGTGTCCACCTTACCACCCCTGTAAAATCGTTATTATCCTACGAATTTCAAAAAACCTTTTTTTGTTGGATAGGTATTTGAAATGCCCATCCAACGAGAGAGTGATCTAATTCTTGGACTGTTATCGTGGCCAACTGCGACAAATTTCAATGACCCATATTCCAGAAAGTACTATTAGGGATTTTTTTCCACGAAACTTGATGATGGATTCTGAATCAGTAGGTACCACTTGAAATATACCTCTACCGATTTTCATCATCATAAAACACAGGGTGTCCGAAAAAACGAATCATCATCATTTTCTTCAAATAGGTGATCAGCAAATGTAGTTCTGTGGTTTTTCTAGAAAGAAATAATCACAAATTATCATTGAGAATTATTTTAAATAGACCTGTTCCAATTTTCGTCATTTGAATATACAATGTGTCTGAGAAAAAAATTAAAAAGGATATAGGTATAAGCAATATTTTTCATCCTGATAATTCTTCACTCAAAATAAAAAGATGAATCAGGATCACTTGGAACATACCTGTACCGATTCTCATCATCATTGAACACAGGGTGTTCGAAAAAATAAAATTAATATATTTTTTTGAGTTGATGAAAAAATATTGCATACTTTTTCTTTTTAATTGTTTTCTCATACACATCGTATTTTTGAATGATGAAAATCGGTACAGATATATTCAAAGTAATCCTCAATAATAATGTGTCATCAATTCTTCTCAAAAATACCACAATACTACATTTTCTGATCACCTATTGAAAAAAACATAATTAGTTTTTTCGGACACCCTGTGTGTTATGATGATGAAAATCAGTAAAGGTGTTCTTCAAGTGATCGTGATTCAGAATCCATTATTGTTTTTTGTGAAAAAAAATCCCTAATAGTACTTTCTCAAATATGGGTCAATAAAGTTGGTCGCAGTAGGCCACGATTACAGTTCATGAGTAAAATCACTCTCTTGTTGGATGGAAATTTCAAATACCTATCCAACAAAAAAAAGTTTTTTGAAATCGGTCCGATAATAACAATTTTACAGGGGTGGTAAGTCCTTAAAGTGGACACACTGTAGGTGTTTCAATGCACTGAGGAAAGAAAGAACTATCACTTCCGAGGTTAATATACTAATTTTTGCACGGCTCAACGATTTTAATTGAAAGAATCTCATGATAAAATCAATTATTGTCAATATGAAAATGAAAATCTGGACACAAAAATCATAAAATCAAGTTTGATTATCATGACTACCGATAAATAAGAGTAGCCATATTGCTTTTTGTAAACATCGAAAAATTTGGGCTAGAATATTTTGTTTGCTTGCTTTCCTAAGTTTTTTCACGATAAATATTGCAGGAATGTGTGAAAAAATTATTGAAGAAGCTGCTGCAAACATAGTGGTAGATTTATCGCCAGAAAAATCCCGGAAATTTTTTTAGCCAAGAGAGTACCTACCCTGTATTATATAAAACTGTTTTATGATATTTACTGAATATTGTACATTATTATTGTGACTTGTCCCCCCTGAAATTATTCCTACGGACGCCCTTGTCCTTAGGTATATTTTATGGATACCTATATTATGCTGCATGACATAGAACATATGTAAATAATAGATATTTTTCAATTTCAGATTTGTTCCTGATATTTTTCTGAAACCACCTCAATGCTCATCCCAATAAAATGATACCCAAAAGGCCTAAAATACATTCATTCAAGTACTCACCCGTTTCGTTCTCAGTCTTTTGTTTTTCTTTGCACTTTCCTCTGCTCTTCTGGTGATAGATTCCCGCGAAGATGAGGATGTTCAGCAAGAGCAGGAAGCACCCGACACCAATGGTCACTGTCAACGCAGTGGTGTAGCTGTGGAAGTGGCTGTTAGCCAATCGTCGAATCAAATTGTTCGAATTCCTGTTAGAACTCACGACGTAGGTGGCGTTGCTCGGAGGACACTCTGTAGTAATCGCCTGAGAAAAAAATCATTAGAATTTGATACCATAAGAATCAAATTTCAGTTGAGAACTGATCTTCTTAAGAAAAAATAATATACAGCTTCAACTACCAACTACAAAATAGCCGAAAATGCTCAAAGTGAAATGATACGTATTTTCACCTAAAAAGAAGCCAACTACTTAAAGTGGAATGCAACCCAGCGAGCACAAACATCCCTGGGATGTTTTGGGATGTTTTGAAAATGTTGGTATGAAGATGTTATTTTGAGACGTAATATGCACTGACCAAAGAGGTCTTTGAAGGATATTGAAGTATTGTTTTTATTCTTCTGTGGCATTTCTTTGTTTGCCTACTGAGAGGTATCCCTGGGATGTTTTGAGATGTTTTAGAAATGTAGGCATGAGGATGTTTTTTGAGGCGTAATATGCACTTCCCAAAGAGGTCTTATAGAAGGATATTTAAATTATTGTTTTTGTTCTTTTGTGCCCTTCATTTGTTTGCCTCACCACAACGTCTCATGCTTACGTCACAATACGATGAATTCTGATTTGTTTTCGATTTTGTTCTTCTTGTTCGCAATTGGCATTCGAGTTTGCAGCGTGTCACGCTTACATCACGCTGCTAACGAACAGAAAGGAATTTGGTGAAGTTCATTGTGTTAGAAGACTTATTTAGTTTGTAATAATGACCATCAGATGCAAGATGTGTTGTTCGGTGCCTCAGTGTAATCAATATATAAAAGTACGAATTCATCGATACACAGCTTCTCCGCAGTTGCAAAATTATGCATTGTGGAGAACATTCCAAAAATTGGGAAACCTATTTCCAATTATATGTCTGTGTGTAGTAAGCACTACTCAGAAACCGATTAAGAAGGTGCGATTTCATATCAAGAAAATATTTTTATGTTCAACCTATTTTTAATGCATTTATTCATTCAAGGGAAATGGAATCCTAATGCAAAAGTTCATTTTGACAAAAGGCTTCAGAAAAGTACCTCGAAAATGGTTTTTTTACAGCGATTCAATGTGCGCATGACGCTTTGAAAATGTTTTGTTGTGTCCATGAAAAGGCTTTAAAAAGAACTAGGGAGAAGGTAGTTTTGTGACATATCAAGGACATCTCGATAATTGCCGCCTGCGGCGGACATTGGCTGTTCTATAATAGTTCTATTCATGTGTGAACAGAACATCGCATTGGAGGTTCAATGACTCGAAATCTCGTACTTTTAACATCTCTGAGATGTTTTTGCGCTCGCTGGGAATGGTCACAAATAGAGAAACTCGAAGAACTTATCACAATAGTTCATGAAACGAACGAAAACGGTAGATAACGAGAGAAAGACAACTACTTTCCTGGCTATATGCCACGGACAACATTGAATTACATCCTCCCGAAATCTATGAGATAATTCGCCTATACGAATTATTGCATTCGTTCAGGATTCTCAAGTTCAAATGAAATCCTGACTGGGTGAAATGAGAATTATCTAAAGAGCATAGTTAATTCAGATTTTTCCTAGTAAGATCAGTTCAACCTAGATCGTATCTAACGGGAAAGGAGAAAAAGGAAGAATCACCTGCAAGGCTGTATCTGATTTGGGCGGCAACGCTGCTAAAGGAGTTGTTCCTGATATTGAAACGGAAGGCGATTCTGGTGGAAGCGCTAGAACTTGGACGAAACGTGGTTTTTCTTTCAGTTGCGGTCGAACATAACCTATAAATATAATCATTGATTGCTCCCAGCATGACAGATACTATAGCGTGAAATTTTTTGTATTGTTTGAATTGGCTTCGCCGTTACTTGATGGAAATCCATTGTAAATGTGAAAAACTTTACAAACTTAACAAAGCTCTTCATGGAGAATATGAAAATGGTTCATTCCCGCTAGACCCCAAGTGTGTTAGGTCGTTGAATTCAGCTCTTCAAGGAGAACATGAAAATGCAATGAAATACAGGGTGTTTCAATTGAAAAAATTGATGTTCGATTTTGCGAGCCTTTTTTGCGCCCCTCGTAGAAAATATAGTCATTCTTGAAGTTAGCACTCATAATGCGATATGATGTGAAATTATAATATTTTGAAAATTCCTATTGGTTCAGGAGATATTCAACTGTCCCACTGGTCTAGGGACACGTATATGGCTCGCGTATAGATAAGATACACAGTTGAGTTTGTATTAATCTGATGTTTCGAATTTAGGAGTTGTGTCTTTATTATTTTAGAATTCTGTTCTATATCAAATGACACGTCGGGAAGGTATATCAAAAATAATAAAGACAAAACTTCAAAATTTGTAAAATCAGGGGAAAACTAATTCAACTGTGGATCTTGTCCCAAGGTATATATCGGCCAGACAAGTCGAACGTTTATTCAGTGCATTGATGAACATATTATGATGAATGTTCTGAAAAAGAAAACAAATTCAACATACGCCTGTATGATGAATATCAATTTGTCATACATCAAGAAGCAAAAAAAAAACATAGTTTGATGTTAATTTAAAAATTCTACGTGCACGTAAAAAATGAAGAAATAAAACTGAATCATTTTGTATCGATAGAAATCAACAAACTCAGAAACTCCGAACAATGTATTTGTCATCAATCCTTTTGAGTTAATCCAGTACATCGTACTTGAATGTATACAGGGTGTTTCAGTTTTTTGTAGCAGGACTTTAACAGCTTGAAGAAGAATTTTTTTTTGAGATGAGAATCTCAAGCAAACATATATGCGTGGAAGCTTCGTTTCCAATTTACAGGGTTTCAAAGTTTCAGATTTTTTTAATGTTTTTTTAATTTTCTCCTACAATTTTCGGAATAATTGATTAAAATCTGGTACACCTGATACACTTCAAAAACTTAATATTTGAGGCTATTGAGCATTTTTGTATACCTACAGGGTGACAGACTTTCAGGGGTCGTACCCAATTTAACCCTGTAGAACTTTTTTGCGTGCCGTCTCTGCTTTCAATGGGACATATATTCAGATTGTCCTTTCAATTTGGAAACTTTTTGCCCCTATGTAAATTTTTTGAAGACTATGGATACCAAGATAAATGCCAAAAATAAATTACTTGTAATAAAACCGTTATTTCTCGAACACACTTATTTGACATTTCTCAAACATTTCATTGGAAAATAGAATGACCCGAAGCTTCCATTCCAAATGAAATTCAGTTGCAAAATTAGATTGAATTTTTTCAACACCATTATAATTAAAACTAGGAAAAACAAAGAAAAAATGTTAATGGTATGATGAAAAATATGATTGATTAAACACATTAACATTCAGTTTTTAGAAGATGTTCAAATTGTTGCCCTTGTACTTCAAAACATTTTTCCATTAACATTCAACACCTCGTATCTTTTAACCAAAGGCCTCGCGGACCCATGTTCGTAGGAACTTTTTTCCTCATTTTAGTGTCGTCGTCTATTGTGTGACACTATGCAATGTACTTTTTTCTATGTCACCCTGTATATATATATATATCCATTTTTTATGTTCATAATTATATTTGAGAGTATTCCTTTCCAACACGTAGGTATTCTTTTTTTCGCTGACTCACCGTCATAATACTGTTCGTCCTCTTCCTGAAAGTGATGATGCCTCATCGATACCTCATCCCCCTCGCTAGCCCTGTGCAACTGGGGGATGAGGTTGAGCCAAAGAGACATTTTGTGCCCTCTATAATGGTCCTTCCGTTCCGTGCGACTCCCTACAAAAACAAAGCCCATTCAAAGTATTCATCTATTCATGTGGAGCCCTTCGGGTATATATTCAGCGCTTGATAAGATTCTCCTTAAGTTTATCGGGAGACCATTATTATCCCCAGACAATGCGGAAGATTCAGCGATAAACTAGTTGGGACTCAGCGACAGTTCAGGAAAGAAGGCAATAAATCAACTTCTGAATGAAACACCGACCTACTGAGATTGATTTTGATTTCAAAATGGCTGCTTGATATGTCACAAAGAAAAGGAAAGAAGCGTAGTGACAAGAAATTGAAGATAATGATGGAAATTGCTTCATGATGGATATACAGCGTGTTTCAGAAAAACCTGACCACCTTACTAGGGTGGGTAGAACACTGCAAAATAAGTTGGGTTTACTCAGTAAAAAAATTTCGTAACCGCATCCGTTACCAAGAAACAAGGTGTTGAAAAAGTGATTTTTTTTACACATTTTTCAAGATTATGTCGAAACTACTGGCAACATTGTAGTGAAATTTTGTATGGATGTTTCTTGGAATCTGACACATCGCAAGCATTTATTTTTATATCTGACTCTCATAGAGGGCGCTAGTTACACGGTTCGTACCGAGTAGTTTTGAACATAACTTTTTTGAGGTTAGATTTTTCAATCCAAATATGATATGAACTTGAACATTATTCAATTTTACACCAGAAAGGTACTCCTGGTGAAACTCGATACTATGTTCCGTTCTCAGAATATTTCGATTTGAAAATAATGGAGTAGTATAATGATGATGGTATAAAATGAATTTTATTGAGTTCAATTACCTATTTATTCAGGTTCAAAAACAATCAAATTATTCTTGTGCTGAAGTTATTGATGGAACAAAGAATCATGAGTAGAAAATTAACTAGAAACATAAAGTATTGAATCAGTTAGAGTAAGTGTTCAAAATGTCCTACGTTTCGAGGAATATATATATATTCTTTTTTTAAGAATGAATTATTCTTCTGAACAGTTGAGGATCAGCTGTTATGTCATTTGAGTGATGTTCAATTATGTCTCACAACTCTTGACGTGAATTGACCTATGTAGCATAGACTTTCTGCTCAAGATACAACAAAACTGTGTAATCCATGTTCTTAGTCAAATCTGTTTCGATGTTATTCTTGTGATTCATTGTTAAATCAATGAGTTTTGCATCAGAAATGTATTGTTATTTTCGGTTTTCAATAAATAGGTGATAATTTTCCATAATACTTACTCTAATACATAGCTTTATATACCAGCAACAGTTACCAGTTCATCATCAAGAAGTTGAAAGTTTACATTTTTCGGATCGAATGTAGAGATGGGATCTCTTGGCCCATTTTACTTGAGAATCTGTGATAAAACCACTGATAAAACTGCGAAGGCTGAAGATTTACTCGATGGGATACCTCTCTATCAGCAGTGAAATTGCGAGATGTCGATAGAATCAGAGCACTTACGAAAATTAACTCAACCACAGCTAAGAAAGATGCACGTGATGGGGCAAAAAGATTATTGAATTCGATTGAAAACTTTGAATTCATCATGATATCTACTAACCGTTCGTCCTGAAATATTGAAGAAATTTTATATATAGTATCTCAGATGTTACCAACCCGGCAGTTATACTTATCGAAAGCATCAAAAACTTTGAAATCGTTGACCTCAAGAATGATCGAAACGATTCGAATTTGAAAAATAAAGATTTCAGTATTTCTGAGACAGTATTTGAACAAAAAAGACAACATAAAGCAAGAAAAATCAATTGGGTGAATCTAATACACATGATATTCTTTCAAATAGTGAGAGCAATCTCGAAACTGATATACATCACAAAATTTTCGACATTGTAGTCAATCAACTAACTAACCGATTTGATGGAATTAAGGAGATTGTTGAAAAATTGAGTATTTTGAAACCCTCAATTCTTATTGTTTTTCTGACAAAAGACGAGCCGTTCAAATCACTAGAAACTCTATACAATGTTGTTATAAAAGAATAATAAATCCATTATAGTCTATTAATCATTATTTATATTTTGAAACGTTTTCTCAATTGGCATGTGGCTATTTTTTTGAACTTTCTCATCATTATTGTTTTTCCTTGATGCCCTAAATGATCATGGCGTGAGGGGCCAAAATTTGAAGCTACGCCACTGCCAGCCACTGTGCACTGTGCTAAAATTTCCCCCTATCCCCGATCAATTTTAGGAGAACATCAAATCATGAATTCGCGTGCATATCTTACCTAATTCCATATAAAACTGATTGATGGTATCATATGTGTCCCAGAAAGGCATGCTAGGCTCTTGTTGATTATCTCTTTGTTGATTGTTGGCTTCGACTGTTGGTGAATCGGTGGATTCCGTATTTGGGTCGCTGTGAATAGATAGGGGATTCAAGATCACAAACTCGAAGTATCATAGAAAGTGATTTATCAGGAAATTTCGTGAATACGAGGGAATCTGGAATCCTTATTAACGATCAAATAGAGTCTGCCTTGTGAGATTTAAATTATCAATTATCTTCATTTTTGATTTTTGTTCTATGATAGAACTCACTTTGAAGACAATTATCATTTTATTTTTATTTAAATTCCATTATAGACTCACCGGCAGAAAACTGCCATCAGAAAAATTAACCAAATTAGACGCCCTGTAAAATTTTTTATTCTTGTCCAATTTTGATGAAATTCCTACCAAATCGTAGACTTATGTTTTGGAATGGTAACATCAATTTTAGTTCCCAAAAAAAGCTGATGACTTGAATACATGAAAAAAAAAAGGAAGGTTACTATTTCACGCCTTAAGGCTAAAGTGAGTTGTTAAACCTAGTTTCATCTTGTTTTGAATTGAAGTGTTGTTCCCTCCTTAACACAATGATTTTTTATTCGCGTCAATATCTTCTTTTTGAGAGAATATACAAGTGTATATAAGAAAGTATGGATTTTTTTATAATTTGCAGGACCTACAGCCTACCACGACCGCAGAAATTTTTCTGATGGCCTAAGAAAGTGTTTGGGATCACACGTTGAAAGGTGAGACCCCCGTCATTCTTTGCTTACACAAGTCTCTTGAAGACTTTTGAGGGTTGCTCGTGAGGGGGCAACCGAATGATGGATAAGAACAATTTCAGAACAACAATACATGAACTCAACGATAAACAACTCGAAATCGTAATTTTCCTAACAAGTGAGGAAAGTTATACTTTTCGGCACGCGAATGCCATCTTTTTGATTGAATTTTTACAATCCTCACACTTTGTCCACTGCGCTATAGGTACCTTATTGATGACTGATATGGATAGACAGATGTCAATATGCCCTTCATTATTATGGCTAGAGAATATAATAGTCAGGGAAAACATTATAAATATTGATAGATACAAGAATAACATCCATATTCTCAGACTATTCTGAGATCATGTCGAATTGAATGTTCATGGAATATTTGTTGCCAGGATGGAAATGCCACAGAAGAACAAAAACGATACTACCAAAATTCTTCATAGACCTCTTTGGGAGGTGCATATTACTTCTCAAGAAAACATCCTCATATCAACATTATATAAACAGGGTGTTAACAAATAAGTGTCACAACGGAAAACTGTATAGATTGCTCATGACAAAAGAAACATTTTTTTCCCTTTCGGAATTTTTCTCCGGGCTTCCGTTATCAAGATACAGGGCGTCAAAAATACAAAATATCTGTTTTTTGCTATACTATCTCAGGAACCGTCTGAGCTACGGAGTTAAGCCTTCGTACACACTTCATCATCAATACTGACTACTTTTAGGGCTCTTGATCAATTTCCTTGGACATGTCAGTGGAGAAGAATTCAACGCCTCGTAAGGGTTTAACCCCCAACATTTATGCCACCACAATTGTTATTTTCAAAGTAGATTCTGAAGCGACAATATCTTTCACACAAAAAACGTCCTTCTGTCTCAATGCTCTAAATTGAACAGTTCCGGAGAAAATTGGCTCTTAATGAATAAATGAATAAATCCTGATGGTATCTCCAAAAATCGTCTAGAAATCCACTGAAAATAAACACCTCAGAACTGTCTAATAACATGTTTAATCAAATGTCAGGTTCTTGAGTATGCTGGTTTTCAAATTGTTAGGTTTATTAATTGTTGTAAAGTGTGTTCAATTGAACTGAACATTTTTGATTTTTCGACGCCCTGTATCTTGAAAACGGAAGCCTGGAGAAAATCTACAGTTTTCTGTTGTGACACTTATTTGTTAACACCCTGTATAACAACAAAGAAATCGTAGGAACCATCCATATTTTCCAGAGGGGTCCAATTGATTTTTGAAGAAAAAAGGTACAAAGTCGGTCGACCACAAAAATTATTTCATAAGAAATGTATGTAATGCATATCACGTCACAAAAAAACGTCCTGATGCTTAAATTTATAAAACGTCACAAAACATCTCAGTGATACCTCTCAGTAGGCACACAAAAAAATACCACAAAAAAAAACAACAATATCAATTTCAAAGACCTCTTTGGGAAGTGCATATCACGCCCCAAAAAAGATATCTTGATGCCAACATTTTCAAAACATCCCACAAACATCTCAGGGATGTTTGTGCTCGCTGGATTCAAGAAATCCATAATTCCTTCAAATATAGCTAGGTATTACTTGTATCTTTTCCGAAAGAGAAGATAGTGATACGTGAATCAAAAACCAATGCAAAGAAAGGGATCAAACTTCAATTCAAGAGTAGCTTTTGTTTTCCCTGTATATTGATCAAGCCATCAGCTTTTTTCAGGAATCAAAGTTCAAGCTAACACTTTGAAACATAAACCTACGATTTGGTCGAAATTTCATCAGAATCGGACAAAAATTAAAAAAGTTACAGGACGACGTCTCAATTTTTTTCTACCGGATTATTTTGCCGGTGAGTGTAGTTTTGAAACTGATGTTTCTAACAAACTAGCATTGAAAATGTTGTTAGTTACTGCACCATGGAATATTCACGCATCATTTCCATAGATCGTCTGTTTTATAATTATTCTAATTTTAGAAAAAGTTGGGAGTTATCTAATCTCATCAATCACTAGCAGATTATTATCCTTGATTGATATTAACGACATCTTATTCTACCAATCAGAATAACGGAATACGTGACAATCGTTTTTCAGAAGCTTAGATTTTAGTGTCTTTCCTAGGATTTGCGTGAACTAACTCTTGGGGGGTAAACTCCTATGCAAAAACTTCGAATCTTCATTATCCGGACAGATTCGAACGTTCAGAAACTTACCCGGTCCTAATGAAATTGCTGACGTAATTAATGAGGGTCTTGGACGCAAGAACATCACCGCGACTGTAGTTATTATTGGAGGAGGAACTGTCCCCAATTAGGGGCAACCCGAAAATGAAGGGAAGGTCATCACCTCTCACGCTCCCGGATCTCTGCAAAAAAATATGGAAAGTAAATAAGGGTCCGCGACCCGAAAAAAAGGTTGGAGATTAAGCAATCCTCCTGGCTAGAGCTTTAGGCAACAAACAAAAAATATTCACTACGAGTGCTTCAATTATTACCTCGAACACGAATATTTTGAAAATTTTCCTAGTCGAAGACGAATTTCCGGGTTTTTAATTGAAGTTAGGTGGTATTCGGTGAAAAAATTTCACACCGAAATTTCAAAAAATACTAGGATAAGATTGAGGAGCTATTTCACTTCCAGTCAGCTGCTTATGATCTATAAGTCACAGATCCGACATGTCCTGGAATACTGTACCCATATTTGGAGCGCAGCACCCAAACATACCCTGAAACTGTTGGATTCTGTCCAAAAAAGGGCAATTCGTCTCGTGAGTGATGCGTCGCTCACAAACTCACTCACTTCTCTGGAACACCGTAGAAAAGTTGGCGATCTGGCTCTATTTTATAGATATTTTCATGGACGATGCTCTTCTGAAATATCAACAATTGTTCCTCCCTTGGCAGTCCACGCGAGATTAATCCGTCGAGTTGAGGCGTCGCACCCCTTCGTGGTCACTTTGGAGACCTGAAGAACATCTCTTTCCAAAGACTCGTTCATCCAACGAGGCTATGGAACAATTTGCCAAGGGAGGTGTTCCCCGAGGCATATAACCTCCAGAAATTCAGAAAGAACACCAATTCCTACCTTAATTTACTTGGTTCTCACGATGTTCTCTGAACATTACAGAATCCTTTTTCGTGGGAACCGGAACATAAAAAAAAATTAAATGTATTATCTTTATTCCCACTCTCGATATTTTTTTGGTGCAACTTCCTCTATGATCGAATCACCTCTCGCATGGCATCATAACCGCCAATAATCTAAGCCCAACAGCTCGGCATATCTCACAAGGGAACGTAGATTAGGGTATAGCCCATCATGAAGGAGTCTGCCGCCTCAGTAGATAGGGGAAATCGTATTCACCCCCGTGGTACAAAGGTGGAGGTCACAAACTACTCCGTGACAATAGGAAAGATGATAGAGTGAATCCAATAAAGAATTGCTGAAGAAAGATAACGCTAAAGGCTAAAGTGTAATTTCAATAATCAACTTAGGTAGTTACGTAACTATTACACACAGGGTATTAAAAATTTTAAGAAAAGAATAGGTACGCTATAGTTGCTTCATCCGTTATGTATGAAAAAGAGGTTTTTATGCGGATACAGTTTGCACACCAATGTTTAGAAGGATATAACGTTCCATTCAAAACAAAAAAAGTTCAAATCGGATAATTAGTTTTGACGAAAATGTATCTCAAACCTTTGGATAGTTTTTGGTGATGCGTTGATTTCTCGGGGAAGTGTGTTTGCTTGTTCCATAATATAATCCAATATATCTAGAGGGCCAGATATTTACTGTTTCAACGAATTGGCGATTCTTCACACAGCAAGGTATTATAACTAGTTACAGTCAAAGCTGGGTCTGACTGATGAGTCTACAACTGACTTTTCTCATCATTCCATCAAAATAATACCTTTTGGCCTAAATATGGAGTTCCAGCAATGTATCACCGTATTATATCCAGATAAATTCCATTTTTACTCGCCATAGGAATGTCTTTGGGGCTATTATGGTGCTGGAAGTGGAGAAAAAACGTTCTACCGCCGTTCAAAGCGTGCAAGTACCCGATCCTGATCAAAGGAGCCACAGTGTGCCCATCGCTGAGCAGATCCAGGGTAGTGTCCCTCACGTTCATAGGATTGAGGGACGGCCTCTCCCAATCGGTATATTCGTTCTTGAGGGTGGAGAATATCTCGTTGAGATGGTAGTAGTACGAGTTTTTCTCATTTTGAGTATACCGGGTGACACAGGTCATCGGGCCACCCCTGTAACTTTTGCATTCGTCAACAGATTTTTCTGAAATTCTGTACAGTTATATAAGCAACTATTTCGGATTTGATCACATTACAATCCAATATGGCGGACTTCCGGTTTTTCTGGAAATGCCAGCAATTTTGTTTTTTCAAATAGAACACCCTGTATATTTTTACATATTCAAGTTCAACAGGTCAAAACAAGTGCAATCTTGATGTCAAATGTCATTTATTCCACAGCCTACCTAGTTGAAAAATTATTCTTACTGCAAGGAAATTCATAAACTATTTGTTGATTTTTGAATGTATACAATTTGTTACTGCACCGAAAAACAAAAATGATATGTCATTTTATTCCTTAATGTTTGTTCTAGAGATACGGGTAGGTGGCTCATAGGGGTTCCATTTGAAAAAAAATAATTTTTGATCAAAAAGTGATGTGGCTGAATTGATTCCTGGATAAGTGACACAAAAAATAAGTTTTCAGAAAAAAATATGTTCTTCTGTTATGTGTGACTCATTGTGGATAGTCTTGACCACATCTCATTTATCCACGAGGTAAAATGAAAAAACAATTTCAATTTAAATTTTTTCGAAAAAATTACATTTGAAATGAAGATTGCACTTGTTTCGACCTGTTGAACTTGAATACGTAAAAATATACAGGGTGTTTCATTTGAAAAAACAAAGTTGCTGGCATTTCCAGAAATACCGGAAGTCCGCCATATTGGATTGTGATGTGATCAAATCCGAAATAATTGCTTATATAACTGTACCGAATTTCAGAAAAATCCGTTGACGAATGCAGAAGTTACAGGGGTGGCCCGATACCCTGTGTCACCCGGTAGACTGCATTTGCCGTGCTTGCAGAGAAAATACTCGAGTATTAGGAAAGATGACGGAGGGAATCCAGGAAAGAATTGTTGAAGAAAGATAACGCTATAGTGAAATTTCAATGATTCTAGCTTATAGGTAGGTAACTATTACACTGTACAGGGTCTTACAGATTCCATGATGAAAACAAGCTATAATTGCCACATCCGGTGTGCATAAAAAAAAGGTTTTTATGCTGATACAGTTTGCACACCAAGGATCAGGAGGCGATAGCGTTCAATTCAAAATAAGAAACATTCAAATCGGATAATTAGTTTTGACGAAAATGTATCTCAAACCTTCGAATACCTTCTGGATGTGCGTTGATTTCTCGGGGAAGTGTGTTTGCTTGTTCCATAAATATAATCCAATATGTCTAGAGGGCCAGATATTGACTGCTCTTACGAATTGGCGATTCTTCACACAGCAAGGTATTATAACTAGTTATATTCAAAGCTGGGTCTGACAGACTTTTCTTATCATTCCATCAAAATAATACCTTTTGGCCTAGATATGAAGTTCCAGCAATGTTTCACCGTATATTATGCTAAATTCCATTTTAACTCACCATAGGAATGTCTTTGGGGCCATTATGGTGCTGGAAGTGGAGAAAAAACGTTCTACCACCGTTCAAAGCATGCAAGTACCCGATCCTGATCAAAGGAGCCACAGTGTGCCCATCGCTGAGCAGATCCAGGGTAGTGTCCCTCACGTTCATAAGATTGAGGGACGGCCTCTCCCAATCGGTATATTCGTTCTTAAGGGTGGAGAATATCTCGTTGAGATGGTAGTAGTACGAGTTCCTCACGTACGTCCTGAGGATGCGGTCTCGCTTGGTGTCGTTGAATCCGAACTCCAGGTCCTGGGCGCTGAGGTCCAGGTAGGACTCTGAGGTCGTCACGCTGAGGAGGAGGTCCAGCTTCGAGAAGAGGGCCAGTTCGAAGCCTGGAGTGGTGACGATGGAGGATGGAGATGGAGAAGATGGCGGGGCGCCAGTGGGGTTGAGAAGGATCGTTCCGTCGATGAATGGAGCGAAACCTGGAATATGATGAGGTGTTGTATAATAACAAAATCTAGCGCAAGAAACAATTTTTTTCGCAACCGACACAAAAGTCGTCCATTTTAATACCAAAATTAGCTCTTGAATTGACGTTTCTATAACTGACACAAAATTAGGTATGTTGCTACACTACACTGTTTTACCACTAACCAAACCGATTTTTTAACGCCTCGACACGTGTTTCGCTAACTATGTTAGCATCTTCAGGAGAAGACGAAAACTGAGTTTTAATCTTCTCCTGAAGATGCTAACATAGTTAGCGAAACACGTGTCGAGGCGTTAAAAAATCGGTTTGGTTAGTGGTAAAACAGTGTAGTGTATTATCGTGCCGAAGGCTCCAGTCTTCGATATATAGGTATGTTGCTAGTCAACATAACTAGTCTCTAGGAGGTAACGTTCGACTTTAGTTCCTAGGAGCTACAGTTGTATCTATATTGAAACTACAATTCGAACTTCCGTGAAAAGTGAATAAACCTGCTGTTAATGCATGTTTGCATTGCATAAATATGGCACGGCTTTGGTGTTTACTTCATATATTCATTCGAGTTGATTGTTTCGGTGGCAGAAAAAATACCATGTTTCATTCGAATCAAAAGTGACTTTGTTTGACTCGCAGATTTTGTTTTCGCTCAGCTTCGCAAATTCGCTGTTCTAACAAAGTATCACTTTTGATCCTAATGAAACAATCTTCTATTTGAAGGAAAAACGGTAAACAGTCGTTTTTGCAGCCAGAATATGATAATAATTATTGATGAGATACTTGTGAATGGATTATGGATTGATATTTGATAGTTACATAATATAGTAATCTCTTTTTTTCACCAGATTGAGTGTTCTACTCGTATATTGTAATCCTACTCAAAGTCATTTGAAAGTAATCGTTGAGGAATAATAACCGAGATAATAACATTGGATTATGAGCAATGGATTAACTTTGAATTCTCAAAATGTAGACTAAGTCCATTATACAAGAATACGTAACAGTGTGTATGAGCCAAATGGAATAAATTCGATAAGGAATTAATAGAAGGGGACATGTTCGAAAAAATCATGGAATATGAATTTCCATATGAATATTGAAAAAAAAATAGTTATTTTTCTCCAAACGGCATAAAAAGTGGCTTTTCTTTGACACTCGACAGGCAGTAAAGGAGTACTTTCTCTACCTAGGCAGAGCCACTTTCGATTACCAATTTCATTAAAATTACTTGGAACGTTACATTGCAACAAACTTTTTCTGCTTTGCTGCCTGTTAAGTATCATAGAGAAGCCACTTTCTATATGCCGTATGGAGAGGAAGAAAATTATTTTTTTGTCAGATTACAATATTTTCACCTAATATAAGGCTCAGTTCATTTAATTTGGGTTGCTACAAATATTGTGCCGAATCATATTATAATACTCCATTCTTATACAGGAGAATGTACACGCCACAAGAATAGAGAAGGTCAGCAATTTCATTCTATACTTTTAATTTGAGTTGTTACAAGAAATGTTGTGCCATAAAATCAACTGATCAAAGTGAAGTGTCAAACTGTCAACTATTATACCTATACTGTAGATAGTGTAGAATGTAGATCATTCAGATTAGAAGTGTGAAAAAAAGTTAACACCTGGAGAAAAATGTTTATCGCTGATGCATTAATGATTAAAGTTTGAATTAGTCATTACAAACCAAAACTGATAAAAAAATAATAATCTGATAACTTGAAGATACAATTCACAAGTTACTTAGCTTTCACTTCTATCGGCAATCCCCAAAGACTGCCCCGTATTTTTTTTTTGTTTGAAGATTTTACGAAAACTTCCCGCTCCCACTATAACGAATCTTCTGACCATTACAAAAGTCAATGCTGCTAACGGTGATCTCCATCTCGCTGAGATCAAACACTGGGTTAAAATTCATTCATTTAATTTTATTTTTTTTCGTCTTCTATTACCCAATCCAATTTCAGGTACCTACTATAGATGCATGAGAGGTATTATATGATTCCTCAATGGGTTTACGTACGTCAGCGTCGAGATTAAAATATGTATAAACTCTGATTCTGAAGTAACTATTTAGATAGGAGTTTGGACGAATTGCGTTGTACATTCAAATTGGATTGCCTTTCGCTCTAAGACATTAAACACAGACTGCTACGAAATCTTCTGGAAATCAATCAGAGAAACTTGCAAGTACAGAAGTTGCAGTTTAGAGTTCTCCTGTTTTCCAATTATCCTAGATCAAAATCACCAGAGAGCTTTCAAGTACATGTTATTGGCAGTAAGAGTGGATTATGGAGTATCCAATAAATGATTGCCTCATCCAGTGTATGAAAGTTCGGAACTTGACCAATAATTCCGCTGAAATTGGGTATTCGGAGTTTCAACAGTTAGCAATAAAATAAAAGCAAGCACTATGTGGTACCATACTCGTTACTTTTTTGGGCTCATTTCTCTTAATTTCACCGAGAATATTCCCATATAGAAACAGAAAATACGTTGATAATAAATTATTCCAGTCGACTGCCCGAGACAGAATGTTATGTTTATTCACCTATGGTCTAGAGCGAATTGCGGTGATTTAGGGTGAATGAAACAACTGTTTTATTTTTCATGAATACACTGCTCTGATGTTTTCCACACGTTTTCGTGAGAAGGTTATTTACTATTTTGTGGGCTAATATGAATATTTTGAATTAGCAAACTCGAAATCATTACAAGGCTGTCATTCCATTAATAGCCACTCTGAAGGAAAACCATTTGAACAGAATGATGGTCATCATTGATTCCAAATTGGATTTTGGGCACCATATTGAACAAATTGCAAAAAAGTCTATAAGAAATCTACAATTTATATTACGAATAACCAGAGGCTTCAGAACCCCATCATCTATTATCACCCTCTACAGTTCACTGGTAAGAAGTCATCTTGAATTTGCGAGTTTGATATGGAAATTCACCAAATTGAGAGTATAATGGATGATCATTTTTTATATTATATGATCATATATACAGGGTGTTTCATAATTGAATGTCAATATTCGAGGAGGCGATTCTTGGGTCCATTCTAAGAAGAAAGTTTCATATGAACGTATGACCTAAACATCCTAACTTTTGAGATACAGGGTGGTAAAGTTCTTAAAAATTAATCTAAGTACAGGGTGATTCACCATAAATGTCTCCCCCTCTAGCTCACTTATTTTTGAACCGATTTAAAAATTTGAAAAATCATCTAAAATGATTTTTCAGAAATTTTTTTCCCGTTGCATCAGAAAATACAGGGTGCTCGGACCAAACGATCTACAGATTACTACTTGATTTTTTCAAATGGAACACCCTGTATTTCATTGTATTTTTAAGTTCTCCTTGAAGAGCTGATTTCATCAATATATCACACTTGGGGTCGAGCGGGAATGATTACATTACAGAGATATGGGGTGATGAAAACCGAGATTTTTCAACTTTAGAATTTTTTTGTGTCGAAACTATTCATTATTGGTCAAAACGGCTACAATGTCCCTATCTCAACTTTTGATTCACTATCTACTGACATTCAATTGGAACATATACAGTGTGATTCAAGATTCAGAATTCTGACCACCCTGTATCTGTTCCAATCAATAAATGTCAGTAAATAGTGAATCAAAAGAGAGATACGGACATGAAAGCCGTTTTGACCAATAATGAATAGTTTCAACACAAAAAAATCCTAAAGTTGAAAAATCTCGATTTTGAACACTCTATATCTCTGTAATCATTCCCGCTAGACCCCAAGTGTGATATATTGATGAAATCAGCTCTTCAGGGAGAATATAAAATTACAATGAAATACAGGGTGTTCCATTTGAAAAAATCAAGTAGTACTCTGTAGATCGTTTGGTCCGAGCATCCTGTATTTTCTGATGCAACGGAAATAAAATTCTGAAAAATCATTTCAGATGATTTTTCGAACTTTCAAATCGATTCAATAATAAGTGAACTAAAGGGGGGGACATTTATGGTGAATCACCCTGTACCAGCCTACTACAATGAAAAGTTATAATTCCAAAATACCAAATACGAATACGAAGTTCATAAACTATGAATTGTATTTCTGAAATTCGATCCAAAAAATTGAATCTATTTCCTATTTCTCTCCATTGTGATATTGTCATATTAACGATATTGATATAATCATGTAGTTAAATGCTTTTTATTTTTTTAAGCGAAAACCATGCCTCAGATTGAAAAAATTGTAGTGATCAAATTTGCTTAGAAATGATTGGGAATTCCAGGAATGATTTCAATTTCGAGATTAATCAGTGGCGTATCATCAATGTCAGCCAAATTATGTATGTGAAATTCCATACGAACGCCACTAGTGGCAACCACAAAAAATGTTGTACACTAACTGATGCCTCTTGATACATAGTACATTTAGCCAAATTTCATTAGAACATCTGATGTGGTATCACAGATATTAATAAAAAACTATTAATTTTTAAGAACTTTACCACCCTGTATCTCAAAAGTTAGGACGTTTAGGTCATATGTTCATATAAAACTTTTTTCTTCGAATGGACCCAAGAATCGCTGCTTCGAATATTGACATTCAATTATGAAACACCCTGTATATCAACTAGTCATACAGGGCACTCTAGAATGAAAATTGAAAAATGTAATTTCAGGATGATAAATACCAAATAGTGGCAAATGGCGTGTCCTTGTACTCACAATGTGATTATCTATCGAAATGAGTGAAAATATACCGGGTGTCCCATTTAAAATAATAAAATAAGGGTAATTTCCGGTCAAACCGGAAGTGACAGAAAACAATTGAATACGTCAAATAATGCATATTTATCTACTTTACTCACACACCAAATTTCATTTGTTCATCTGTACAAAAAAGTTATAGGGTTGATCCACTTCTGAAAAACATCCGGTATTTAATTACTGAGCATTTCTGTAATTGAGATGTTGTCTCATCTTGTTGAAATGCCTTGAACATAAATAAATAAATGAATAAATAAAATCGAGGGAAAGAATTTTCACGAAATGATCGTTACCTGGCAGAAACCGGGGTGGTTCCAACTTGATGCTCAGCAGCTGATCTAGAGTCTTGAGTCGCAGACAGGGCGCCAAATCATCCTCAAGCAAATCCCCGTGGCACCCTGTATGCTCAGCCACGCTTCTTTTAACCCACAAAGGATCCCGCTGCAAGGCCCAGGGACTGAGACCTGATCCACTCAGTAGAATGACGCGGTGTAGAAGTTCTGTAATGAACAGAGACAGAGATCAAAGATGATTCACACTCTAGAGTCTAGATAGACAGCGCCCTTGTGGAAATGGGAAAGTTTCCTTCAGATGAATTTTCATAAAATGAGTTCGGAACTTCTCAGTTTCATGTCCACGCTGTGCAGAATGGCGATCGATAAAGTCCAAGTCGTTTTTATTTTCAAAATAAAGCAATTTCTGATTTTTGGGGCAGCAAACTGTGACGTAAATTCTGAATCTAATCTGAATATAGCTGATGATGAAAAATTTAGCTAGTGAACAGAGTTCGGACACAGAAATGACAACGGTTAGGGTTTTTGAATGTTTAGATTTATAAAGTTACACAACTTGCATTGTGAGAGCACCATAGTCGTCCCGCGCTTTTTCATTCAAAATTTTTTTTTTAATTTGACAATTCATTTTATAAACGTCAGAATTGAAATAAAATTTCATAATTATTATACTTTCGAGATGAAAGCAGCTATGGAAATCACTTGCGGTATAATAAATTGTGCCAATTTTGAAACAAATGGATATCATTTATTCGATTTTCCAAATCAAATATCAAGCATTCGCTTATGAAAGGAAGATATGAAACAGCCTGGGTGGAAAATCAATTTGAAGACGAGCGAAATTTGTGAGGTACTCATTGAAATTCACTTCTTATAACAGCATCTGATTAGAATGAATCTATATTTTAGGCCCATTTTCAAACAGAAGATTTCAAAATCTGTTTGAGAGAATCTGCTGTTCCATCAATTTACGAAGCAGACGATTTCGAGAACAACATTCCAATATTATCATCACACAAAATACAAAATAAAATAACCATGGTAAAAGGAGAAATGATCGCAAAATTACATTATGAAATTGAAAATTTTAAAACGAAACTAATAAAAGCAAGTAAACGTGATATATCATTGAATGGCGTTTTTGGTGCTGACCGCGAATCCAAAATTCAACAGTGAAAAGTGAATAGGTATTTATGTATCAAGGGAATTATCATAAGGGCCTTAATTACGCTGGAGGTTATCGTTTCGGAGATATTTTCTATATCGATCCATGTTACTTAGCTCCTAGGGCGCTAAGTGAAGTTGCTGAGAACTTGACAAAACCAAGTATTTGGTAGGTCTCGTCAAAATGAATTACTCTTTTGAATGAAGCATTTCCAGGCACAAGCTTATATAGACTTTATTTCTTAAAATTGTCTCAGGAATACTTCACTGGAGTACAGTTTCACATACAATAAGGAATTATAGCTATAAGTTTATCCATATGTATATATTCTCTGATATTAAAATGTATTTACATGCATTTTTTTCATTTATATGAATTTTGCTCTGCTAGAAGTGTATCACTATGAATTGAAGTGGGTGTTTGTACCCTATATCCAATGTCCATCTACGGCTATGATTGATTTGACAGAAAATATAACCTCTCAAATCGTATCTGACAATCAGGCGCTACTAGGAAAATTGAAAAGACAAAGACCAGAATATATGTCTTATTCTTTTATTCACTTAAACCATCGTATTATAGAAAATAGAAAAAGGCAAAAGTTCAGCTGTGTCCGAACTCTTAACAAACTAATACCATCCAGTGACTTTAGTGAACAGCTTACGAGTTGAAAACTAATGAAAAAAAAAAATAGAAGAGAAAGACAACATGGCGTCGTTGTTAATTATATCATGAAAAATAACGATGATCAACTAACTAACTAACTATAAACTGTAGACATAGAGGCTAATGAATAAGTGGAAATGAAAAATCGACACAAGTAAAACTCGAAATGAAATATACAGAACCACAGAATCAGATTAGCTCTTGGTGTGCCTGTTAATATTTTGTGTGGTGTGGACGGGCTCAAAGTATTATGCGCTGTTAACTGAAATAGATTCGTTTTATGAAGGCACGAATTCATTCGAAAAAAAATAGACTCTGGCAGTGAAAAATTAGAGATAATATTTCGAAATATCCTAATTTGTCATCATTAGTAATCAACGTCATTCAGCAAATAAGAGATTTATGAAAATTATTCGTAATACTAGACGAAGTAGAGTTGAAAAACCTATTATATCTCATTGCTGTTAAGATATAGTTATAATGTTCTCAATGAACAATTTTCGGAAATCTAGACATATTGATGATGCCGGCGAAGTCGTACTGATACAGGGTTGACTGATGTTAGATTCAAACACGTGCTGGCTGTTTGTCCCATCAATTTTATTGATATTTTCTTTGAGTAGCGCTTTCATAAAGGCAAGGGGAACCCGTTTTTCGAAAAATCCGTTAATTTATGGTGTTGCCAAAAACAAACCTTTTGGCAATGCCCTTCAGATACCATTCTGGTATGTGGAATTTTCAATGAAAATAATAGTATGCCCTCTCAGGGCACGGGGCGTTTTTTCATTGAATATTTGAATTCTTGGCTATGGTCATCGACAACAATTCAAGAAACAGTGGCATAAACATTTTTTTCATTTCCAAAACTGTCAATTAGGCTGAAGATGGTCTTTTGTAAACATGTCCCTGATTATGTAACAACATCATTAAAATTTGTGGAGATGACTTCGAGCATTCCTTCCTTCCTTTGAAATATTTCACTCCACTTTGAGCAATATTGACTTCTACTAAAGATTTACTCTATGTATATTCAGTAGTAATACCATAAATACTTCAAAATATTCGGGTTATACATCGATAACTTGTTGGATAAAAACAAAGTGTCAGTTTGGCAGTTTGAATAATCCTACCGCGCAGCGAGAGGATTATTATGTTATACTGGCACGATTTGTAATTATGCAATAAGTTTGAGATCTGTGTCTCTGTATGGTTCTCATCTGATTTATTATATTTTCGTGATGCTCTTGATCCAATTGCAGATACGGTTTCATAGAATCACTACTACCATGACCTATTATTTTAATCAGTTCTTGTTCCGATACTCCTGCTTTTGCCAATAATTGTGAAACGGCAGTAGCCCGATGAGGATGATTTGAATTTTTTTTATTTGTGATGTCTAAACCGGCTGATTCTGCTGATTTTCCGATCCATTTGCTAATTTCGTATTCTCCAATTGGCATATTCTTGTACCAGCCAAGGGATTTTTGATTCTTCCAGTTTGGATTCACTGTCAAAAATAACCTGTCTATTTTGATATTCTTGTTTTCCATCCTTTTCAACATCAACTCGCATTCAGAAGTCTCACTGGGCAACGATTCACATTAGTTTGATTGGGTACAGTCACTCATTATCAGCACAAGTATTTGCTCAATCCTGTGTTGTTTTTGTAAAAATAGGGTTATATTGCATCGTATCCTACCAATTGGAGAGCCATCATTTCCTTTTTTTTTTTTTGAAATAGTGGATCAAGCATGACGCTCCTTATTCATTTCCTCTCCATGCAAGTTATACAGACGCAATCAAGAAAAACTTTATCTGTAACCCTTCTGGTTCATTTTCATCCCAAGCTTCTATCATTGCTTCATACTCATTGTCTCTGAATGCTGATGCACTGACCTTCCTCTTATCCAGTAAGGATTGGAGCTCCCTTCTTTTTGAATTTCTCGCTTTCTGTGCCTCCACAAATATTGTACTGGAAAAAGGGTCAATTGCTCCGTTGAAATCCTTCATACATTTTTCTTGGATTTGTTTTGCCGTAACGTACCATATGGTTTTCACAACATTTTCTTTATAATTCTCTCCATTACATTTTCGCATATTGGAAGCCCAATCTTTCAAAATAGTTGCTATGATTTCAGTATAGGAATCGATTCATTCAGTATGTATTTTCTCTCACTATACAAAACGTAAGGAGCTGTTTCCATACGTACTTTTTTGTTTTCACTGTATTATGAGGCTCTAACAATTGGTTACTATGGGAATGGAAATAATTAGTTACTCTATGTATAATCACCACGTATGATCGAAATTATACGAGGTAGCCCCACTCAATCGAACGTTCTGATTGATTTAAAATTATACGAAGAAAATAATCGGATAAATCTGATGGTGGTGATTCCGATAAGGCTGACGAAGGTACCGTCGAATAATGTCTCCATGTCAAAATGGCGCACGTCACCTGTTATATTAAAACTGATAATTAATAACCTGTTGTGGAGTGGTGATGCGTATATAGCGAGTTTCGGGAGGGATTATATTCCAGAGAAATTTATTGGGAACGACCAGGGAGACGTAGACCAATTATTCACTGTTTCGGGCGCAACCCGAGAGCTGGATTTATCCCAGCAGATATACATATACAGGGTGGTCCAACGAACATTTCACACCCCGATTCAAGGGCTTTGAAATGGAAATTCGGGAAAATGCTTAGTCCCGTCGATTTTTTATTCGAGGGAGAACGACCTCTATACCAGGAGACAGCTTAACCCTCCAATTTTGAATAAGGAGGAAAAGTATTGCGATACCTCATTCTGATGATCTCATCTAGTACACAGAAATGAAAGATTTGTTGCACCAACAAAATTATTTTGGTGAATTATCTGCGGAATCAGCAAAATATTCCAAATACTTAAGCGACTTCTTCAAAATGACAAAATATTTTGATTGAAATATTTGTTTACTTGAACAAAGGTTGAGTTCATTCAACAATATTTATAGTTGACATTGTTACATTCTTGTTGCTCCAACTATCATCTCATTGTTCAATCAATCTTATGCATCGTGTCTATCTGACAACATTATATTAGTTTTGAAGGATATTCAACTAAGGACAACATCATATTTTGTTGTTGTTCATTTCATCAAATCATCATGAAAACCATCCATCCATCCTTCTCAAAGTGGTCAAATTTTTTTCGAAAAAACATTACTTGACCGACTTGCTGTATTTCTGTTTATCTATGGAATAATTTGATTGTTCAATCAATCATATTCTCTTCTTCTATTCGAAATGAAATGAATTGAATTGATTTTGACAATATTATATTTTGATGAGTCAACATCATTATCAACAGATTATTATGTCGATCTGAACCAACAGATACATTATATCGAATAAATATTTTGTTGATTGATTAGTCTTGATTCAATTGAAAAAATTAATCTTCAATTGGTCTCATTTTTGAAATAATTCAGTTATTGAAGTATTCAATCAATATTATTCAACAAGATTGTTTGTCAATTCTAAATATAATTTCGTTGACGGAAAGAAATTTGCCATTGGATGAAAGCAATATTTTGTTCTATTCAGAATATAATATTTCAACATGTTGACTTCCTGAAAAACTGAAAATTTTGTCACATGAATGAAATAGCATGATCATTTCAATCAACAGAATGTTTTCATTAGAGCATATATTATTTAGGAACAAAATAGTATTCGTACATTCAACCAAATCTAGCCTTTGATTTGAATCAATAATTATTTACATTAAATGAATTTCAAGTTGAAAACTGTCAAAAAAATTGTTGCAGTAACAAAATATTTTGTCGTGGATATATGACACTCGGATTTTGATGAATTTACAGGATTTTCGTTAATTCAAATAATATTTTTTTGCTCGTGTAATTTCGCGTCAATATTTTCTTCGATAACGAAATGAGAGATGAAATAGTGGAAGAGGCAATGTCGAATTCACTTCAAGAATTATTAGAATTATTAGAATGAAATTAGAGAAGTATTTATGTATTTGCTATTTTTTGTCACAAAAAACTTTGTGGACCCAATATCTGTTCGATTCACCTCAGCGGTGTCAAATCGATTGTTGAATAATCAAGATGAACTGAGGCAAATCGAACACACTTTTTGAATAAATACTTTTCGAATACTACCCTACCGAGAATAATATTTCCGAGGTAAATTCGACATTGCCTCTTCCACTAGTATATCTCTCATTTCGTTATCGATAAAAATTTCAACGCGAAATTAGAGGGTAGGATAGTTCTCGATTAAATCTTCAAAATGAGGTATCGCAACACCCCTCATCCCTACTCAAAATCCAGGGGTTGTGCTTCCACCAGGCAAGGGTTTGAGGTTACGGGGATGTGGAAAATATACAAGTCATTCCGTTCGTCCAAGCGTTCTTCCAGATTTTCATTCGGAAGCTCTTAAATCGGGGTGTAAAGTTTTCGTTGGACCACCCTGTATATAAAGATATATATGGGAGGGCTGGAGTGACATTTCGCATCCTTCCTTCGGTTCTTCGTTCGATCCATTACTCCGACTTTACATCAATGTTCACGTACTCACTAGAAAATACGAGCGATTCTGAACAGAGGCGGTATTCTGAAATTGCGGTACTATACGCAGAAAATTTGTCCCCATCGATATCTTGCAAAAGTCTATCGCAATTTTATCGACCTATCTTGCATCCTAGGACAAACGTTGATAGAAACATAATTCATGAAAAAACAAAAAGATTCTTGAGATTTACTCTGTTCATTCCTTGGCGAGTCTCATGAAGATAAGATAGATAGATAGATAGATATATAAACTGCTCCACATTTGAAGTGAGTCAAGCGAACATTTTGTTTGTTTTCAAACCGTGATAACTTTGGATGAGATCAACCGATCTTTGATTAGTTTTGAGATTGTGATTGCCCAGTTGATTGGCTATAACATATTTTTTTTACGTTTCCCCACCATTTCAGAATTATGACCTACAGGATGATATCTGAAAGTGTGATAATTTCCGAAAAGTTTGAGGTCGCCCCGTTAGCAGGATAATTTTTTTTAAATTTTTCTGACGGCAAAAACATGAACCCTAATGTGTTTCCTCGAAATGGTTTCGGATTCATCAAGATCCATACAGGATGTTTTGAGATATGCAATATCATGGATTAGCAAAAGTGATTTCGTGATTGAACGAAAAACCTTCAGGGTTAGTTCGCAGGGAGGAATAAAGTGAATGTGGAGTGTGGTTATTTTATGAATAAAATTGTCAAAGCTAGGATGTTTTTTTTCAGTGGATATAGAGAATGAGAATTGATGAACATATACCACGAAGAGAATACAGATAATACGTAACACAATATTTTTTTAATAAAGAAAAATTAACAACGGCAGATGTGGTCGATTATCAATGTTTTGTTACACCACCCCTGGCCGCTGCGAGAGCCCTAACTCTTCTCGGCTTGTTATCAAGCCATCAATGAAATCTTGGGGAATAGCTGTCCATTCTTCCACTATCGCATCTTCCAGTTATTGAATATTCATCATTTCACCTTCTCTTCTCTTCAAACATAATTTTAACCTAGCCCATACATGTTCTATTGGGTTCATGTCTGGAGATACGGGTGGCCATTCCATTCTTTCAATATTATGTTGTCTCAGAACTTCGGTTACAATTCTCGCACGATGTGGTAGTGCATTATCATTGACCAGTACGAAATTGTCTCCAAAGTTTTGAGCAACTGGTATAACAACATCTCTTATACACATGTCACGATATCGAACAGCATTTATACTTTCCCCCAAAATAACCAACGTGGTGCGATGATTCATCATGATACCGCCCCATATCGTAACACCCCCACCCCCAAATGCCACCCGCGCCTCCATGTTTTCCTCCAGAAACCTCTCACCCCGTTCTCGCCATACTAAAATCCTTCCATCTGATCTGAACATATTACACCTACTCTCATCAACGAATAAACATCTCCTCCAATCAGCTATTCCCCAGTTCAAATTGTTCTGAGCCCAAAGTCTTCGAGCTATCCTGTGGTTCAGCTTTAACAAAGTACAAGATGCCCTCCTTCTCGCTCTCAGATTGCACTCATGAAGCCTTCTTCTGATTGTCTCATCTGAGACAACAACTCCTGTTGCATTTCTTAGTGCACAGTTCAGTTGCCCAGCAGTCTGTGTTCGAAGACGACGTACCGAAGTAACTAAGAAATTATCATTTCTATCTGAAGTCTTCCGTTGTCGTCCACCTCCGTGACGATAATTAGGATCTCCTGTTCGATCGTGACGATGGATTGCCCTGTATATTGAAGCTCTTGATGTATCGAAATACTGTCCAATGTCTTCAACATTCAAACCACCATCTCTCATTCTGAGAACCATTTGTAATTGTTCATTAGTTAGTCGTGGCATATTTTATTACAATAATAAAATGTTTGACAATTTCTGATTATTTCCTAGACAACATATTATACCGAGGGGTTAACCAATGAATTTAAGGTATTCAAAAAATTCGAATAGCCATTATGTTGTTCAAAATTGCATATCTCAAAACATCCTGTATGGATCTTGATGAATCCGAAACCATTTCGAGGAAACACATTAGGCTTCATGTTTTTGCCGTCAGAAAAATTTAAAAAAAATTATCCTGCTAACGGGGCGACCTCAAACTTTTCGGAAAGTATCACACTTTCAGATATCATCCTGTAGGCCATAATTCCGAAATGGTGGAGAAACGTAAAAAAAATATGTTATAGCCAATCAACTGGGCAATCACAATCTCAAAACTAATCAAAGATCGGTTGATCTCATCCAAAGTTATCACGGTTCGAAAACAAACAAAATGTTCGCTTGTCTCACTTCAAATGTGGAGCAGTTTAGATTAAAGTAGATGAATTATATCACTTCTCTCGAAAGAAGTAAGCTCATGTTGACAAATGGATGGATATGCTGAGATGGAAAGAGTACTGGTAAACATTTCTGGTTCAGAACATTGGAAACCTCAAGAAATCGTTATGATAAAGTGAGGCAGCACGAATATTTTCGCTGCTTTGAATTAACAATCTGAAACTATCACGAAAAAGCATAATTTACGATACCAAGTTTTCATGAGCCTTTTCTAGATGAATTCAAGATATTCTACATTTTTTCCGGACAGAGTTCCTTTCAAATCCAATCATAAAACATAAAGGAATTCCAACCAACAAAGCACTAGAAATCCCCATCATATCCAACCAAACGTATCTCACAGATCTGTGAGTTAGTGAGACAGATAGCGGAACAAAAAGTGACTTTAATATTAAGGATGTCTGCTAGGCGGGGCAAGGTTGAGAGATGTCGCAGCAGCTGTTCTATAAATTCATGGACGAGTAGACTTTGCTGCAGAAACACGGCGAGTTATCGGATCGGAATAACATTCCGTATGCTGATCACATGACGTGTGTCCTGTGCGACTATTGAATTATGAGGGTGAACGCCTATTACATTTCGGATTTTATGGACGATATTTTTTACGATCGCTACGAAGCTGATACTCCGTCCGATCGAATACCAACCGTCCGAAATATTGCCATTTCTGTACAAATGGCTGTAAAAATACCCACATATGTCACGGATAACTTGAAGGATTTCTCACATGGAATATTGTTGATATTCAACGATTATTACCTCTAGCAACAGGTGACACAGCGATGAAGTTCACCAAAGCAGCACCCGTACCGTGTCCCATGAGTGTTATTCTTTGGGGATCACCCCCAAAGGCCGAGAGGTTTTCCCTCAGCCAATGGAGACCGGCCATGAGGTCCATCAGACCAAAATTTCCTTGAGTGCTGCCTTTGGTGCCGGTTTTCACGAAACCTGCAAAATGAAAGGTTCATCATTAGCAAATGAAGGTTTCGTTTTCTTCTTGCACACATCGGTCCAAACGCCAAATGATCAATGTGCACATATTTTGATTAGAACTGATATTGTTTAGATAGAATGAATACATCTTTTCATGAAGTGGCGCCCGAGCAGGGATATGGAGATCTTAGTTCAACTAGCGTTATTGTGATAATCAATAGGGAAGATTAATCTGGAAGCTAGGAAACTGAATAGAACTCACCCAATACACCGAGCCTGAAATTGATAGTGACGACAATGACTTTACCCATGGAAGCCAACAGAGTGCCATCGTATACGTTACCGCTACTCCACTCGTAACTCTCGCCATGAACGTAAACTAGACAAGGAAGTAGACTGGACTCTTCACCACCCGTCGCTGAAACCAAATGATAATCCTGAGAATATTGTTGTCCTAATTTCAGAGAAATGCTCAATAGACCTGTGATATCATGGCAACTCAGGGAAAGTATTCTCAAACTTTTGACATTCACTTTCTCAGTTATAAAATATATCTCGTGGAATTAGACTGTGAATTACTCCTCTAACAAACTGCTTCTATTGTATTATATGTACATTCAACAACCAGATTCTGTGCAAAGTAACTTTCTGAAGTTTGTGACGTATTAAGTGACTGGAGTGTATCTCCATCCTTCCCAACGATACGAGGATTGTGTACTGTTGAGTAAACATTCGATGTTATCTCTAGAGATCCATGAATGCCTACGATGTTCGTCTGTTTACGTATACCTACATGTATGTTGATTCGTATCTAGAATTTCGCAACATTCAGCATTCACATCTTTTCTGGGAAACTGTATCACTTCATTATTCTATTTTAACCTGAAAAAAATAATATTTTACTCGAAATGTATATTCGATTTACGCTTGATAATTACTCTAGGAAAGAATAGATTTACCTGAATAAAATGCTCATCGAAAAATACACTAGCGAAGTTTTCTAATTTATCTCATGGATATCGAAAGTTCAGAGGTTTTGTTCAAAATTGAGAACGGCTGGAAATATCTGTAACCCATTTAACAAAGAGACTGAAAATCTTGAATAGTTGCCAATAAAAGAACGGTCCATTTGTAATATGATGCATTACTGGTGCAACACATAAGGTAGCTTGGAATTCATTGTCTCTGACACAAAAACCTCATTATGCATTGACTATTGATTTGGGAATATTTATACCGATGTGGAAAATCATCATGCGAGACTTTTTCTGGAATTTTACATGATTAGGTTGATTCAAGTTAAATATCTTCATTATGAATGTTTCATTCGAATCATCAGTAGTTTATGATTGATTAAAATTCTCATCGAAATTCATGACAACCTTTCCCTAAGTGCATCTTTGATATTTGAAAACTCCATCCACTCTGGAATATGAATGAAATAATGTTCATTTCTTCTCTACCCTCCAATATTTCATGACTTTATCTTTACGACAAACTCACCTTCGTATCCTGAGAAAGCATCAAATCCTCTTTACTTTTCACTCAGCGATCGATGGATACATAAGTCGATTCCTCACTTCCGCACTGCTTGCAGACTGCTACTTCAAACACTGCAATGCACTACGGAATTGAAGACGCAAACTTACAACGAAGTCTTATGCTCGAGTCCTTATTTCCTAGGTCAAGGTCCTTTTAGTTTCCCAACGGAGTTGAAGTCGCGGTAAATATGTTTTGATTCTCAGTAGATAGGTCAGGGGGGTTCTGCAACATTCTCCCTATCTCTTGGAGTTTTCATCAGGTATAACTGACGTGGTGATGAAAGACACATTGAGTTTTGTGAATTAAAACTGCCGCTTCAAGCAAGATATAACTTTGGAGTTGGTATAGTGTATGATGAGTCAATCTCTTTCCTCCCAAAAAATGTTGAACAGTTGACTGATTTTGTTCTCGGGGCATGTGTCAGATCAGGTATACAGGATCAAATGAATTGTATGTTCATCTGATCTTCAATGGTTGGGTTCCTTACTCCCACACATTAAACTTATTCAAAAACGAGCAAAACATTGAATTCAAGCAATAAGTGTGAGTGGCTTACCAGTCCTTGGCACATATAGGTTGAGGTAGAGACAGTCTTCGCTTTGGTTGGCCAACAGAGGCAGGATCTTCTCCAGATGAAGAAGTTGTCCTTTCGGGAATTCCAGCAGCGCTTCCGATCTATTACTAATGTCAGGTAGCCTTTGCGGACACACAGGACTGAAACGGTCAGCCAACCGAGTCGTCCTCCATAAGGATGGGGTCACAGGTGGCATGTACCTAGAGAAACGAAAGAAAGTTTAATGAATTTGAAAAAATCGTTCTAATAAGAGAACCGACTGAAAATTTCGACCGTCATCTGATAACTAAATGGCAATATGTCCTAGCATAGAGGCATGTGAAAACATTGTACCTATGCTATTCATTAATTCAAGCATGCCTTCGCATTGTGCTGTTGTACAATGTACAAAAAATGCAGCGAGAGCAGACGAAGGAATATGATTTTTCAGGTAAATAGTAATCTCACACAGTTATCATTATGAAATGTTGTCATTCCTTATCAAAGTTCCTTCTGCCACTTCAGCAATACAAGCTAATACTGCTAATAGATTGAAAATATCTACAACACACACGATCATATTTCGTCAGCATGTCAGACTAGTCCTCCCGTTTGATTACATGAATCCAATGTTCATGCATTATTTTAGAAATTTCATGTGTATTTCTATTAGCTCCTATTGCAGAAGGAATTTCGATGAGAAATCAGAGAAATTACCAAATTTCAAAAATGAGAACTATATGTCAGTGACTATAGTAGGTACTTACTTTTGAATCATAATGTACCAACAGGATTCCTTCGTCTTCTGCTGCAGTTTTTGTGCATTGTACAACAGCACAATATGTAATGACATGAGCGAATCAATGAATAGCCGAAAAATACGATTCATATGCCAAAATAATTGTGAAAAACTAATTCAATCACTTGTAAACAAATAAGAAAAGTCAGGTTGTGTTTCAATGTTGTTCCTCCAGGGTCGGTCATCTGACAGTTCTTGCACGCAACCCATAAATAATGTTAGCCCTCATTGAATTGTCTAATAGATTTGTTGACACCCGGCATGTCATTTCGTTATCAGGTGACGGTTAAATTTCACCGCCGACAATTTATCATCTGACCTCAAACTGCCGACAGGTGGCGTGGCATAGGGCACGCCTAGGAAGGCCTCGACGGATGGATGAATGTGCAGGATGATGCCCCTCAAAGGGCCGTACTTCGTCCTCACTATCCTCGTGCTGTACTTGTGCACCAGGAAGGACACGCCCGCCTCGGACTTTTCGATCGAGAAGACCACGATGACGACCCACATGATGCAGAAGATCGCAGTTACGGAATCCGCTCTTCTCGGTGCTATTGTCGTGTCTGGAATTTGCATGACGTCTTGGACGACATCGGAGAGGGTTCACATCCTGCCGGACATCGTATCGAATCTCTGGAAACGATCGATCAATCAATTTAGTTACTGTGTTAGGACAGTTCCCCGACATTTTGACAACTTTTTCCATGAGAGAATCTCCAAAATTCGTCAGATCACGACTCTAGAGGGCTTCAGAAGTCTTCTCAAGGCCCTTTGAAGGCTTCTCGAGCCCCTAGAGTTGTGATATGGAGACTTCTGGAGACTTACGTCATTTTTTTGTACTTTCAATCTTAAATTTTCTTATGCAGATCAACATAGGCAAAGTGGCCAAAATACCAGGGAACTGTCCTAGCACAGTTACTCATGTTCTTTCACTATCTAAAGAAATATTTTTATCGACAAAGTATGATTATTTCTGAATGTTTTCATGTCTTCAGACCACGACTCTAGAGGGCTTCAGAAGTATCCACACCTATGAAGTCTTCTGAAGACATCTGAAGACTTCTGAAGACTTCCAGAACCCTCTAAAGTCGTGACGTTTCGTATTTGGAACATTGAATTTTTTTATGCAGACTAACATGGATATGAAAAGTGGTCAAAATGTCAGGGAACTGTCCTAGCACAGTTACTCAAGTTCTTCCACTTTGGCAAAAGGAATATTCTTATCGACAAAGTATGACTCTGATTTCAATCAATAATCTGGAGTTGGCTCAAGTAGCATGTGAAACATCTTTGAGAAGCTGTGAAGATATATTTCTTAGATGTTTCGAACTTCTAAGACATAAATTCACGCCTTCCCGGTCCTATTGTCGTGTCTGGAACGACGTCGTGGACGACATCGGAGAAGGCTCTTATCCTGCCGGACATCGTATCGAATCTCTGGAATCGAGGACGACCATTTTTGTGCTTTGAACCTCGAATTTTCTTATGGAGTTCAACTAGGGTAAAATGGTCAAAATGTCGGAGCACAGTTACTCGAATGCTTTCACATTCAAAAGAGATATTTTTATCGACAAAGTATGAATCTGAATTTCAATGAATAATCTGGAGTTGGCTCAAGATATATTTCTGAATGTTCACATGTCTTGAACCATGAATGCATAAATTCACGCCTCCTCGTTCCAATATAGTCGTGTCGAATCTCTGGTATCGATCGATCAATCAAGTTAGTAACTGTGCTAGAAGGAAGTCTTCAGAATCGAGTCTGCAGACCACGACTCCAGAGAGAATCTTCAGAAGGCTACAGATCACGACTCTCTAGAGTTCTTCAGAAGTCTTCAGAAGTCTTGTGAGAACTATTTGAAGACTTCAAAAGTCTTCTGAAGACATCTGAAGACATCTGAAGACATCTGATGACATCTGAAGACATCTGAAGACATCTGAAGACATCTGAAGACATCTGAAGACATCTGAAGACATCTGAAGACATCTGAAGACATCTGAAGACATCTGAAGACATCTGAAGACATCTGGAGACATCTGAAGACATCTGAAGACATCTGAAGACATCTGAAGACATCTGAAGACATCTGAAGATTTCTGAAAACTTCTGAAGACATCTGAAGACTTCTGGAGTCCTCTTAAGTCGTGACCTAAACACTGCTGAGGACTTCCGTGGATGACCTTGAGAAGGACACCGTTTCGTATTTTAAACATTAAATTTTCTTATGCAAGCTATCTGGGTCCTATTGTCGTGTCTGAGATGACGTCGTGGACGACATCGGAGAGGGTTCACATCTTGCCGAACATCGTATCGAATCTCTGGAATCGATCGACAGTTCCCCGACAAGAGAATCTTCAGAATTCGTCAGATCACGACTCAGGAGGGCTTCAGAAGTCTCCAGAAGTCTCCTGAAAACCCTTTGAAGGTTTCAGAAGTCTTCTGAAGCCCCCTCAAGTCGTAATCTGAAGACTTTTGGGGACTTATGTGGATGCCCTAGAGAACTACCATTTTTTGTACTTTAAACCTTAAATTTTCTTATGGAGATCAACAAAGGTAAAGTGGTCAAAATGTCGGGGAACTGTCCTAGCACAGTTACTCAAGTTCTTTCACTTTCAAAGGAGATATGCTTATCGACAAAGTGAATCTGGAATCTCTGGAATCGATCGATCAATCAAGTTAGTAACTGTGCTAGAAGGAAGTCTTCAGAATCGAGTCTTCAGATCACGACTCTAGAGGGCTTCAGAAGGATTCAGAAGTCTTCTAAAGACTTATGAAGACTTCTGAAGACATCTGAAATCCTCTAAAGTCGTGATCTGAAGACTTCCGTGGATGACCTTATGAACATATTTTTTTTTATGATTAACATGGATAGAAAAAGTGATCAAAATGTCAGGGAACTTCCCTAGCACAGTTACTCAAGTTCTTTCAACGCTACCAATACTCAAGCCTGTATTTTCTCTAGAAAGGCAGAACTCAGTATGCCTGATGATATTTCAATACCTCCTACAACGTCCACTATATCTGTGCTGGGTATTTCCATCAGCAATACTCTCCTTGATTAACGTACAGACAGTATATCCTTTGGTGCTCTCCAAGAGATAAAAAACAAATATGGTATATAAACAGAGCCACTACGGTGACTTCTATCCACTGATAACGTATTCACGTATGCCAATGAAACACTCCGTATATGGGGTTGCTCTAATAAGTTAATAAGAGCACTCTTCGTAATAAGGCAACTATTTTGCTTTCTATGCAGTCGGTATCTTCAGCACTCGCGTATTCTTCCACCTCAAACCCTCTCAGCGCTTCTGAATGCCTCATTAAAAATCATCAAATTAATTAAAACAGCGAGCGTCACGTACACTGGCAAATCTGAATATTTCGCGCTTTGAACACTACTTTCGGAGTTTCGGAATTATGTGCGGTAAGATGTGAGCCGTTTTACCATTTTCTGAGCTGCCGACGAAGTCCTGATATTTTCAAAGTTGAATCAAGGTTAAATAATGTTTTGTGGAGTTAGGAAATTCCCCGTAATAATGAAAGGAGACATCTTCCTCTTAGAAGCCCAATTGCAGCTTACTAGAGTTAGGTATTTCTTCTGAAAGATCCTGATTACTGGTCCGAGTGTATACAGAGTGGGTAATTTTTTTCTAGTTGGACTTCAACAGCTTGAAAAACACAAGTTTTCTAGATGAAAATTCGATGTGAAGTTCATGCGAGGGAGCTTCGTTTCCGATTGACAGCGTGCCAAAATTAAAGATATTTTAAATGATTTTTGAGTTTTCCCATGCAATTTTCAAATTAATGAATATGAATTCGGTACACCCAATAGACTTGAAGAACTCAATATACAGGAATATTAGGCGTTTTCAACCCTATCTTAATGTTTTTCGAAAACTTATTGGTTTTCTTGAACACACTCTATGTATGTATGTATGTATGTATGTATGTATGTGTGTGGGCGGTCCGGGACCTGACGCACTTAGGCCTCCCTTTTCGGGCCCATTGTGCACCCACATTCCTGGGATCGCAAGTCAGCCATGGAGAAGGCCGATCTCGCGAGCAAAAGAGACCAACTTCCTAGGCCAAATCTTCTTAATATCCTCTGGGTCCAGGATACTGCTCCCAAACTGGATATCCCTTGCTGCCACTATTGCCGGGCATTCAGTGAGGATGTGAGTAGAAGTCTCTTAATCCTCTAGGCACCATCTGCATTCAGGATCCTCCACAATCCCGATCATGCTGAGATGTTTGTTCAGGTGGCAGTGCCCTGTCAGAAGGCCCACCACTTTCAGCTCCTTCCTGTTCAAAGCCAAGAGGGCATTGGTCTGTCTTCGTGACGGGTTTCCTATATGGAGTTTGGACTGCCTCATTCGAGGAGACTTTCTCCAGCTGTCCTGAAACCTTTCCGTCAGGATTTCCTTCATCTTGAAGTTTCTCCAGGATCGAGTGACCCCTAAGATTGGCTCTGGGCCAATCACTGAACCCTTCGCCCCCTTTCTGGCCAGACCATCGGCCATTTCGTTACCTGGTACCCCTGAGTGTCCAGGGACCCACAAAAGACACACTCTATTTGACAGATCAGGAGCTTCCATAAGATTGTACATGATTATCCCCTATATTTGAACAGTTTATACAGGGTTCATCATTGAAGAGAAGAAATATAGGTATTTTTTCTTTTCTTCAAACTCTTTTCCAAACAATGTGTCACTAACAAGCTATTGTCTTTTTCTTGTAGGCTCCCTTATAGAAAAATGTTTCAAACGCAGTGGCAAATCATATGATTTGTCCTACTACACGTATATTGAAATAATTCTCATACTTTCATTTTGTAGAAACGAGGAGAGAAAATCTGAAATAATCAAGTAAAATGATTGTAACACGTTTTCGAGTAACGTACAGACAGTATTTATGAAATTCCTCGTTGATTATAAAAATTAGTAAAGCTACAAAAACTCAAGCTCACCTTTATCATGAGACAGGCTATGTCATCTCATGAAGAAACACATGCTATAATTATTCTTAGAATCAAACACAAATTCAAAGGTTAATACAAAATTCTGTAGTCTGCTGTCATTCTTTTGGTTTTAGATTTCAAGTGACACTTTCTTATATTATCTTGAAGATTAAAATAAATATAATTCAAAATACATATTCCAAATTTGTGTCTTCTGATATGCATGAGGTACTTACTTTCTGCAAAATCTAATCTAACTCAGCCTAATATACAGTTTGACAGGTGACATTGAAATAAATACAAATATTTCGAACTCGAAATGATTTCGATGAATACTATTAAATGGCACCCATAGAAAAAATTTAGGGTGAGACTCTTTTTCCACCCACAGTTCTACACTGCAGCAATTCTGACGTCACATCTAAACAAATTTCTGTGCGGAAGGCACATTCACGAAAATGTCAATCATTCAAATTGTTTTGAGGTAGCGTACTTGTTATTTTTTAGACTTTTATCAAATTGAATAAACGACGAAAACTCAATCTCACCTAATTCATGAGATATAATATGTCGTCTCATGACACAACCTATAATTATTTTTAGAATAAAACACAAATTCAATGGTTGATACAGAATTCCATAGCCTGAGATTTCAAGTGACATTTCCTAATA